TAGGGATACAGATGAGTCTGAATACTTTGAGAGGTCTCAGTGAGTAGTTACGATTTGCAATTTCTTTTAAGCAAAAGAGGTGAGGGGAATCTTCTTCCCTGGGTCAGAAAGGCTGCTGTGTGTTTTAACGTACTGTTTTTGCATGGCTGATGTCCGGGCAGCTCCTATGTGGGGGACAAGGAAGGACTAAGAAAGGACTTTAAGGACATCCTAAAAGTACACTTGATCGAGTGTGTTCTGGATAACTCTTGAGCGCTAAGCAGCAATAAAGTGGAAGGAAAGTATAAACCTTAAGTGGTGTGCACTTGAGCAGGAAGTGTGTACAAAGTGAAGGATGTCAGTATCAGCAATGTGGGTCGCAAGTTGAGTGATGCTGTGAATTTTGTGACAAAAGGTGTTTATCTTGGGTACGCCTGCACAGGCATCTGCACACCCACTGCACTTGACTCGACTGTCCCTGCTGTGGCACTGTCATTCTCCAGTATAAGGACTTACCACTGTGATGGTGACATTTAGCCATGACACAAATAGCCTGTGTGCTGCCTTTAGCCTTTTCTGAATCCAGGTTATTTTTTCTGTTGAACTGCAAACAAGTTCTAGCTATTTCCAGTCCATGTCCTCTTAGTTTGAGGACTAAATATAATCGCAGGATTTTTACAAATCAGTAGAAGAAATATAATCATACTCAGAGGACATAAAGATGCTAGAAGAATCCCAGATTCAGAGAGATCACAAGATACAGATTACTTGATCAATGGGAAGTCATTTTGAAGTGTCCTTTACTGCTGTCCCTTGTGCTCAGGTAGTTGTCATTGTCAAAAACTTAGATACAAAATACAAGATACAACTGTGGCTTCCACACTTATTTTTCTAAACCATGGTTGTGTTCTTATGCTGCCCCCAGCAACTTACTGAGAATGACCTGCATGCTTTCAGGAGATATTCTTTTACTTTCTCTAGAATTCTCTTCAGATATTCAGGTGGAGCTTGAAGAGGGCCAATAAGCAGGGTTTAGGAAGATGGTCACAGCTTGCAAAGCATGCTCTTGGCAGACTTTGTAGCAAGAATACTAGACCTACACACTTAACAAAGAGTTGGAAACCATGGAAACAGCAGTGTGAAGGGAGTTCAAGTTCATTTATGTTGTCTAACATCCTTCAGAGTAAGGTTATATAACAGTGGTAAGATGGCAGGGTCCACTCTACAGCTTCTTTGGATGCTGCTGTTAGTTGAAGTGTATTTGTCGTGTTAGCATATATGCTGTTTCAGTGCGAGGTACTACATGAAGCTGACCCTGCTATTTTTTGTTGCTTTTGCAAAACAGTTAAGTGTATGCCTGGAGGGGGCTTTTTTGGTCGGTTTGTTGTTTTGGATTTTTTTTGAATATGCCCTCTTTCTTCCAAACAAGTATCTGGAATTTAACCGTCAGCACAGAAACCAAACCCTGCAGTCATTGCCATGCCAAGTGTCACGTTCCGTTAAGTCCCACAATGTTGAATTTTACGTGTCTGAGAAAGTGCCTTATTTTTAATTTTATATATAGAGCTGGATTCTACCAATAAAATAGCATCTTTATACCATGATCAAATACCAAATGTTTGTTATTAATTGTATTTTAAATTGTTATCTAGAATTCATTACTTTGGAGAATTAATTTTTCTAGACTTTGAAGGTAGCAAAATGGTTTATCAAGATTTTTTGATTGAAATAACATGAAACATTTTCAGAATGTTCCTTTACATGGATTTGTATGAAGAATAGTGGATTTGAAACGCTTAAACATGGGCTGTCTTGTTAAGCAGATGTTTGCTTTGTGCATTTAGCAACATTTACCATATGTTTCCTTGGTGTACTTTGTTTCCTGGGCACAAACTCAACATTTGCCCTGCAGCATTGGGAAGCCGAACACAGCAATCTCTGATTTCAGTGAGGCTGTTAACAATAATACTTTTGTGATGTGAATTAACTCTTAAATGTATTCCCTTTTATGCACAAGCCTGTGTTCTTTTAAACCAACCCCCCCTTTTTAAGCATAACCTCAGTGGTTTTGTCCCTCTAATGATATGAAAATGTAATGCTAACTCAAAAAATCATTTTCCAATATAAGGAGAGACCTAACTCTGAAAGACAAATAATCATTTATCATAAGTATTGGGTTCTTTTATGCACTGTTCTTGGTTGGGAGATGCATAGGATAGTTAAGTACTTTGAAGCTGGAGATGTTTGGAGTTTCCATGAGGGGATGGCTGGCAACTAGCAGGGGCAGTTGATTCCTGCTCTAAACTTTCCCAAATACTCATCTGTGGCATCCTTGTTCATCCTAATCTATTCAGAATCACTCATGTGGTGGTAACTCTTAACTCATTTGTGCTTCTGTCTGCTCTAAACTCTGCTCCATTTCGGGAAAAGGCAGATTTCCCCTAGTGTTTGCAAAGGCTGGTAGTTCCCTGGGAAAAGGGGTGTTCTGTGCTGTTTCAGCTGAAAAGTATTACTCCCCAGGCCATTTAGTTGTGTAGCCTGTTACCTGTATTCTTTGTTCCTTTTTAGTACCACCCCCTTGGCTCTTTAGCTGTGTTTGCAGAGTGTTTGCTCACCAAACCTGTGGGCTGTAGCTCCATGTTTGACAATCTCAGGAGTGTCACTGTGGAAACCATTAAACCTCTTCTCATAGCACTCCATTTTCTGAGAAAACTAGGCCATGGATTTTGAGAGCAAATTGTACCCTGGGAAGAGCTAGAACAAGCCTGCAGCCACTCTTCTCAGGTCTGTGTTTTTCACAGAGCCTAATTCATGCAATTTATGAAAGGTCTGTAGAAATGGCAAGACATCAGACTGATTCGTGGCTTAAATAAAATAAAAAGAGTTCCCATTCTGGAGAGTAAATAGCCCAAAATCTGGATTCCAGCATCTTGTACCATTCTGGAAAAGAAAAGTCTCTCAGTTCTCATTCCTTCTATGCTCTAGTGCTGTTTCTACAGTCATTCCTTGTCCTGCTTTCCATTGTCACACATTTCATAATCTGGGGTGAACACTACTTCTCTCTTGTGTTAGTCAGTGGAGCCCTAGAAAATTTTGTTTCAGGACCTCTATTTTGGCTTAAACTAATTGACATTCTCCATATAAATAAACACACGGGTCAGAAGGAGCTTGTAGTGAAAATTTCCACAAGAAGTGGTTAAAGTCCAAACACTTCAGCATTAGGGTAGTTTTGAGGCCTGAGAAATGAAATGAACAAGGGCTAGTAGGCAAAAAGGAGGATCTGTAAAGGTGCATAATAAGGGTCTGAATGTTCTGTGTTTTTAGCTCTGAGTTTTAGTAACATAATTGAGTGAGTTTGCATAACAAATTTTTACCTTGATTTTTCCTAGAGCTGGTAAATACAGGCTAATTCACTAATATTCTCCATTCAAACTTGCTGTTGACAGCACTCATTCCCTGCTGTTCTCACTGTGTCTAAGCTCCCCTAAAGTAAGAGTTCCTTGGACCTTATATTGGCAAGCTGTGAAGAAGGATCTTCTGTCACTTAGTGGTCCTGCTGGCTGAGTGGGATCAGTTGTCTGTAGTGACACATCTGTGTACTGTGTTCTTTGCAGGAATGGGGAGTGACTCGTCTTACCTTTGAGTATGACTCAGAACCATTTGGGAAGGAGAGAGATGCAGCTATCATCAAACTGGCCAAGGAAGCTGGAGTGGAGGTGGTAGTTGAGAACTCTCACACACTCTATGACCTGGACAGGTAAGAGGTAGAGCAGAACCTGTTGTGCTGCTTGGGGCTGGTATTTTGCTTTTGAAGAAGGATTCTAATCTAGGAAAGGTTTCAATCCCCTAATAAATCAAACCAAATAAACTGACAGCTAACTCTGAACACTCAAATAATGAATTATAGTTGAGCGCCAATATAGCAGAAGGATTGCAGTCTATTCTAGTACCGCCTTCTCCATCCTCCGAAAGTGCTGACAGCAGTGTAAACATGGGGAAAGGTCACCTCAAGCCTCTGTTCTTCTGTGGTCATTATTTCTAGCATGTACTATTGACTACTGTTTGTGGACTTTTCTTCAGTTGCTTAAACTGCTTTCTTACCACAGGGTCACACAGACACACAAGCTCTCCCATGGTAAACGCACAGGAAGAACCAAGGTTAACCTCAGCAAATCTGTTTATTGTAAAACTACTGCTTGGATTGACCTTAACAGGTTTACCTCATGATGAAGCAGCAGTGCTTCGTTTTTCCTGTGGGTGTAGTATGGGGCAGCTTATACACATTACACTGAGGTCAAAAGCATGGGATTTTTTTGTTTGGTTGTTTAAAGCAGTGAAAACAAGTTCTTAAATGAGGCATTTAAGTCGAGTAAGGCTTCACCATGTTTTTCAGGACTACTTACGTTGTGGTTTCATCTCTTTGAGATGGCCTACACAAACAGCAAAATGTAGAAAAAGCAGCATAATACCTACTATAAATGGACATGTATAATTGCTGCATCTAAGGATTCTCAAGTTCAGGTTAACTACACTCAGAATTCTCAAGCTAGGGTGGGGGGAGAGCAAAAGTATGGCCTGTGTCATGTCATGAGGCCCATGGGGTCAGAAATTTGGTAGCGGGATGAGCCATGGCAATTAATGCTGCTGTTGCTGCCAAGTTCCAACTGCATAGGGAGGCCTGCAAACTGTCTCCACGCTGCTCATCTGGACTGCAGACATGCTTTATCCTGAAATCCAAATTACTTTAACACTTCTGCTTTAAACCAAACAGGAAAGATAACAATTTAGTTCTGGGGTGTCAAGGATGGACATATATGGCCCAGCCTGCAGGCTGGATCCAGCCCTGAAACAGCTGGTACATGCAGTACTTGCCTTCCCCCTCAGGCCCTTTCAGAACATGTGCTGGATCTGACAGGCAGGACTGGTCTGTAGGTCTGATCTAGCCCTGTGCCACTCCTGGACTGGTCCTACATGGGGCCAGATGAGTCTGGGTGGGAGCCCAGGCACAGGCCCCTGGTTTAATTTACCATTGGTTCAGTGTAGCTACTTGTTTCATCACCCCCCAAGGTGATGCAAGCACCTACTCTGGACTCATTCAAAAGGTGTTTGGATACATACCTTGCTGGGATCATTTGACCCCAGCAGACTTCCTGTCTGTCGCAGGGGAACTGGACTTGATGATCTCACAAGGTCCCATCCAGCCCCTAGTGTCTATGAAATCTATGCTTTGTCTGGTGGCTTCATATTGGTAGGTTATTTTCTCTCAAGTTGGGTGCTCCTGTATTTTTGTTACCCAGAGTACAGGTAACCTTATGGGGTAGGCTACTGATAAAAGAAGCAGAAACAGGTCTACAGCCCAACCTTTTATTTGCTTGTGCCTTAAAGCATGAAAACAAACATTTATACCAAAGCCTCTATCTGGCTACCTGTGACAGCATGACATAGATTCTCATATATACTGGCTGCAGAGTCTCAATAGATAGGAGGAGGGTGGCACTCAGATTGGCAGCAGGTCTTCTTGAATTTGCTGAGTTCTCCAAATGTCCCTCCAGCCTATGCCCAATATTTATAGATGATTAGTTTTAAAATTCTAATAAATGATCTCTGATTGGTTTTATTTAAATTTCTTTGTTTCACTGAAACTTTTGGAACTGGACAGAACCAGATCTCTTGTAGACTTAGGTGTCAATTAGTTAGGATTTATATCCTTGGGAAAGAGGGAGGGTTTCTTATCTCCTTTCCTTGCCAGTGTGAAATGGTGTCCAACACCAGCCTTTTTCTGCTTAGTTTATAATCTTCTTTGACATGGCTGTTCTTATTTTTACAAATTATCTAAGTATTTTAACAGAAATATATCTATTATAGCAAAATAACTTTTATTTTGGTTATATCAATCACTACTACTACTATTTTAAGATAAAGCTATGATATAGTGTATATGGATTATTTAATGTATGGTCTTCCTTTATCTCCTTTCAGGCTTTGGGCTTTGTTTAATTGTGTTTGGCTTCCTTTATTTGCTGACCAAGTTAGCTGTCACATCTGTAGAGGTTCACAGTAAGGTCACTCTGAAACAGACTTTGGAGCCTTCTGCTTAGCACCATTTCTGCAGCTTGGCCTATGCCCCGTGAAAGCCAGGGCTGACAGTAGTGGGGCCAGATGAGTCTGACACCCCTGGTTCCGTTTACTATCGGTTCAGTGTAGCTACTTGTTTCATGATTGTCTGGTGGGTTCATATCAGTAGGTATTTTTTTCCTTTGAGTTGGTTCCCCCCCACATTTTACCCATAAGATCTAAATCACTTTATAGTTCATATGCCTGGAAATACAGCAGTTGTCACAGTCTACCAGTATATTATTCTGTAGCCTTTTTTTAAACCGGAGTGGACTGGGATGATTTCATTCGACCATCTGTACAGCACTGGCCATAAAACTGCACCTGGTAAATTTTGCATGGAGTCCCAAAATGTGACTGAACTAAAAGATACTTTTTAAAACGATTTAAAAGTTCACCTTGTGGTAGAGAATTTTACATCCATCCCCTTGTAGTTCATTTTAATGGTTAATCACTCCCAGAACAGTTTTTGTTTCTGATTCAAATTTTGCCAACTTCATCCTCCAGCTGTTTATGCCGATTTTCTGGACTAAGTTTCCTGCTATCTGCCCTCTTCCTGTGCAGGCTCTTAAAGTGTGATCATATTGCCTTTACCCTTTGATAGAGCCTGGGCAAACATTACACAGGCATATCTGGAGAACTGGAATAATCTGTCCTTTGTCCCATGGCTAATGAACTGTACATCTCCTAATGCCCTTGTATTTAGCCCTGCAGTTACTTTTTCAGTTTTTGTTCTCTGAGCCTGAAGAAACCCAGTTAGACTTCCACCGTACTAGGCTCTAGGTACATGCAAATCGTGCACAGTCCCTACCCAAAGAGTTTCTCTAGGATTTGGATCACAACAGATGGATAAGCTGGAAAAGGAGGACTAAACAGTATGGATAAGTGAGTTGACATAAAGCAGTAGTCAATTACCTCTGTGATCACAGGTGGTGTCAATGTAACAGATGCCTCTGCTGCTGCTAGGTGAGTGAGCAGTCAGTGTTGGCTCTCATCCTCAGTGTTAGCTAGGGCCAGCTCCTCCTGCATGGGAAATGAGGGAGAGCACATCCCGTTCTTGACGGGGGTGGGGGGGTGAGGGCTTCCTATGTATGAGCTAGCCAGTGGGCTGATGCTGTTGAAGAAAAGGGATTCTCCTTCTGTGGTTCGGGTGCCCCTCGTAGGACGGATGCAGTTTGTTTGAATTGGAAGTTAAAGTCCAAGGGACTGTGGCCCTCGAATCCTAGTACTGTCAAGCAGCAATGTCAAACTCACCTGCCCCCACAGGCTGGATAAATAGCATGGGACCAGTCTACAGGCCAGATTTTTTTTAAGAGAATTTTTTGTGTTCCATTCAGATCGGCCAAATCGATTCCAAATCCATCAGTCAATCAAGAAGCATAAGTGACTCTGCTACTGGCAAACATCCTTCACCCATCTGGGGCTTCAGATGTTTCCAAATCCTTTGGCAAGCACCCTATGTGCAGGCCCAAGACCAGAGACGTGGGGTTCAGATGCCCCCGGGTTTTGCTTGCCCTCAACCGTTAGGCCCCAGAGACAAGCTAGGAGTTTCCCATTTCCATAAAGTGGGCACAAAGCCAAGATCTTACCACTCAAACAGCAAGTGGGAGGATTACTATACGTTACCTCTGTGGGTACTGAGATGGACAGCACAGGGCTGGCCCCATGTCATTGTGTGTGTGTGTGTGTGTGTGTGTGTGTGTGTGTGTGTGTGCGCGCGCGCGCACGCCACTTAAATTCAGTGCTTGTTCCAGTCAGAGTGAGCACCACATGCACTGGATCTGGCATTTGGGCAAGGGTTCTGGACTGGCTCTGCACAGGTGTGTTGTGCAGCACAGGACCAGTCTGGTATACACTGCCTGCAGTGTATGGGTTGATTTGAGACCTGGGGTAACACTGGGTACTAGAGGATGGGGCTGTGCAAGCCAGATCTTTGACACCCTGCTGTCAAGAGGTATTTGAGAGAGTGATGTCCACCATAGACATGAGCTGCTTCTGGCCACATGTCTGGATTGCTACTATGAATGCATTTGTTTGAGCCTAGATTGCCATCCTTTGAAGTAGAGTGGCACTGCAGAGAGGAGATGGGATGATCAAAAACATTATGATAGCATCTGTTGTTCCAGGTGCTGTAAAACATCCAGGATATGGGTAGGGAGTTCATGTAAAGGTTTCCATTTCTGAGCTGTTGACCTACTTTAGGAGATGAGGTGGCCCAGGAAGTGACTTCATTCTTGTTCAATTATTTTTAAGGTGAAGGTGGAATACAAGTCTCTTCTGCCCATCTCAAAAGCCAGAACAAATTAGTGTGGGTTCAGGGGAGGCTGCCTGACCAAAGAATCTCTAAGGTCATAATAGAGATGCACAGACAGCTATGATTGGGGGATTCCAGGGATCTGGCAGTAGCACTGTATATTGCAGGTCCAGACAGATTGCTTCAGTCTATGGAACAGATTGGACGTAGGCAGTGCGAAGAGGCAACTGCTTTAGAGAGCTAAAATGGGATGAGGATTGTACAGCAATCTCACTGTCACTCTTGTGTGTACTACACTTGGAAACAAGCCTGTCAGTAGAGCAGTAGTTATTGGAATGGTGTCATGCTTCCATTACAGCAGTGATGCATATATTCTGGGGCTTACAAAAAGTAAAGGGACAGATGTGAAAGGTCTTGGGTTTTCTTTTCTGCCTCCTCTCCTCAGAGTGGAGTTCTAGCATGTCAGTGGCTTGGTACAAGAAGCAAGGAAAACTACTAGGGGCAAGGGTGGAGGCCTCTGTGTCCCTCCACTTATCTGTCTTTTTACTACCTGAACACAGGGTTATTTTGATGGCTTTGTAAGTGGAGGAAACCTTACCTGTTGTAGCAGTGTTTCCATGCACTGTATCTGTACGTGTCAGTGAGTTGTGCCTAGAACTCACCCACCTGTTGTATTTGATAACCTCTGGCCCCTTAGCTCAGCACTTGCCCCTCTTTTTTTTCTAATGCATATAGCTTACTGTGTAGAGAAAGGAGGAGGAGTGGTAGGAGCTTTGTGCCAAATCTTTTTTTAATCTTCCTAGGTGTTCTATCGCTTTAAAACACTTAAGTCTCCCCCTCTCAGTATGTATGAGAGGTCAGGGATTTGCTTTGCTTGTGGCCTAGATTGAAGCAACATCTGTGACACAAAGAGCAGGGCGCAACCTTCTACCTTCTAGTCCTGCCTTCTAGTTGTTGCGTAGAGCAGGGAAGGTAGGTCACTAAGCAGCACACGTGAGCAGCACTTCAGTGAAGGCTCTAGGATTGCGTGGAGCTCCTCCTTTCCACACGTGCAGCTGGTGGGGGAAGAGACGGCACATGGCATTTGCTGAAATACTAGGCTCCCACCCAGCCCCTTGCATAAGTTGTTGATTCAAATGGGTGGGGAGGTTGCAGCAGCCATAAATGGCTCGTGCACAAGCAGGAAGCTGACTGAGCTGCCTCAGCTTTATATAATGCTGGTAGTCTTCTTTCTGCCTGCTGTCCTGTTAACACTTCTCTTCCTGGAGCTGTGCTGAACACCATGCTGAGTAATAATGCCTTTGTTTCCAGCCTGGAAACCATATTTTGCCAGGGTGTCTTTTCAAGACCCTTTTAGCTTTGTTTCCTAGGGCTGTGAAGTTTCACATTTTGATCCTCTGCAGGCAGCGGGAGCTTCAGAAGGAAGGGGTGAGGAGCTTTGGCCACCTTGCTGCCTGCTTCCTTGGTTTGTACTGAAACAGGTTAGACTACTTAATGGGAAAAACATACTGAGCATAAGGCAGACCTGCTCTTGACAGAATGGGGTTGGGGATATAAGGAGGGGGATTTCTCTAATCCAGGGAAGAAGGTACACACACTGGAGGGGCAGATGGACATTACAAATATAACAAGTTTCAAGTATGTCAATAATTGGGATCCAGTTTACAGTTGTCCCTGGATAGAGTTGTCCGTACACACTGCTAAGGGTTCTAAGAAGAACCATTACTTTTTAGAAATTTAGGGGTGGTAGAGTATCCAGACCATTATGCCATAGCAGTAATTCTCAACTGGGGTGTCTTGGCACCCTGGGATGCCTTAAGATCCATGCAATGTTAGCACAGTTAGGTGTGCAAACATAATTCACAGGATAAATCCAGAGATATCAAATAGGCATCCAGTGTCTCAAAAACGTCCTTATCGGTTGCTGTATTTCCGAGTTTTTTGTTACCCCCTCTTCCCCCCCCCCCCAAAAAAAAGGAGTTGTTCTACTATTTTTCTTTAGTCAAAAAATAAATGAAAATCAAGGGCTAGCATTTTCCTGAGGTTGGTGTGTCTAAAAACATTAAGAACCCCTGCTTTAAAGGGTCCCTGCCCAGAGTTTCCTCAGGATTCCCCGGGGGGGGAACGACCCAGGTTAGCTGGATGCCAAGAGGAAGATGCACTTACAGTTTTCTGCTTCTCCTCAAAATGTTGAATTAAAAGGACTGACTGACTTTAATAAAAAATATTGTTATACTTTACCAAAATCTATATGAATGATGGGGTACACAGGTGTGTGCATATGTGGTGGGGGGGTGGGGAATAGCCTGGACCTCATCACAGGAAATGGAACCCATTTGGTGGGGCCCAAGCTCATGTCAGCTGGGAGCATGGAGGAGGGTGAACGGGTTGCTAGATTCTGGGGGGAGGTAGGAGTGGTGGGGCTGCAAGACCCCTCCTTGTGGTGCTCAAGGGTTGAGTGCTCCTGCCAAGACCTGAACTTTTTTTGTTTTTTGCACGACCTGCACTGAAAAGCAGCAATGTCAGTTGTACTTCCCTGCACCGTGGACTCTGCTGGGGTCCCAGTTGGGGGCAGGTGTGAGTGGAGGGGTTGCCAGGTGTTGGGAGATCCAGAGTGGCCCCTGCTTGTGTGACTGGAGGCTGGGTCCTCTGTTCCCCCTCCCCCAAAAGAACTCTGTTTTCCACCTGCAGTTGGAAGCATTTTGTCCATTTTTCTTCCCTGCACAGACTATGTGCTGCAGGGCTCCAGGTTTACAGGGGCAGATCTGGGGTTGGTAGGTGCTAGGGACAGCTATGTGACCTCCCTATTTGTGGTTCCCAGAGG